TAGAGCTTGAATTACTTCGTAAAACCACTTATCGTAACCTACATCGTCGTCATAATCAACCTGAAAAAATAAAAAGATCGTTGAAATACAGATCATGTATGAAAAAAACTTTGATCGATCAACCTGCATAAACTAAGAGTTTAAATTAATACCTGCTTTTTCAACCACTTAATAAAGTGTTTATCTTTCCTTCTGTCTACGTCACTTGTGGATATACCTAGGAGTGTTTCTTCGACTTGAGAAACAAATAATCTGTAAAATCACATTTTATATTAATTAATCTTTCCAAATTATAAATTTTGTACTTATATGTGTTTAGAAGTTAATTATCATATATATGTTACCTTTCATAATGGCGCATTAATAAAGGTGTGTGCACTATGAGCATCTTCTTCACTCGACCTCCAAACCTCTTTTGATTTCCCATCCATTCGCCCAATCTGGCTAAAGATGTCTAGAACACGTTCATCAGCTGCATATGTTGGGGCGACACCACCATCATCATATCTTCTTGGAGCTCTTTTCTGGGTACGTACTTTTGACGCAAAGTAGTATGATGTGAAGTGAGAATTTTCTTCCGTCAAACTTCCAGCAATTATACAACCTTCAATTTTGCGAGGTTTTTTGCTTTTTCCTTCAAATATTTCATGGCTCGCTCATACTGATACACCCATCCGTAATGTACAGATCCACGAAGAAATATCTCATATGGGAGGTGGACAGCTAGATGCTCCATGACATCAAAAAATGCCGGAGAAAATATCTTCACCAAGTTGCACAATAAAATGAGAATGTTCTCGTGAAGTTGTTCCACGACTTCTTCTTTAAGAGTGTGTGTGCTCAGATCCCTGAAAAATGTTTCAATGCCTTGTATATTCCAAAAACAATTAAACACATTAGAAGTCGTAGATTATTGTAAACTAAAGCATTATAAAATTAATACGTTATAATAAACTATCTGCAAGTGTTTCATGTACGTTTGTTGGAAGTAGCTCCGCAAATGTAAATGGAAGTAGCCATTGCATAAAGACATGAAAATCATGACACTTCGTCCCGAAGAACTTTTGACTCTTTTCAACACATTTAGAGAGATTTGAAACAACATACCCATCGGGAACTTCACTTCTGATGCCACCCAATTGAACAACACTGACTTTTTTCTGAAAACAATCTGAATATCGGAACGGAAACTTGTCTATTGCTTTTTATATGTAACTCACTTCTTGAGCATATATCCGGCAAGTCCTTGAGCAGTCATATGTCCTCACATTTGTTGACCACAAATTCTTTAACTCTTTTATCAGTGGTTGTAGGAAAACATTTAGAGACCTTTTTGGATGGTTCGGACCAGGTATTAATATGGTCAAGAATAACAACTTCCGTTGCATGTACATCTTCGGTGGCATATTGTATGAAGTAAGAAAGACTGACCACAATGAATATTGTCTCCCTGACATTTCAAATGGACTAAATCCATATGTGCATAATCCGATACACACATTCCGACTATTGCTGGCAAATTCCGGATGTACTTTGTTAAAATGTTTCCAGGCTTTTGCATCTGATGGATGAGTCATCTCACCATCCATCTGAGTATGTTCGGCATGCCATCTCATCCCTCCAGCAATCTGCTCAGATTGGTACTATCTTTTTAATCTATCTGTAATTGGAATGTACCACACTCTTTGGTACGGTACCCTATTACGTCCTCGTCCTTGCGGTTTGAATCGTGGCTTCTTGCAGAATCGACATTCTTCTAACTTCTCATCATCTCCTCAGTAGATCATGCAATTGTCGATGCAAACATTTGTCATCTCCGAAGGCAACCCAAGACTATAAACTAGTTTCTGAATCTTATAATAAGAATCAGCAGACACATAGTCTTTCGGCAAATACTTTTTAAACAAGTCTTCCCATTCATTCATGCAACTTTCAGGTAGATTGTGACCAGTTTTAATATTCATCATTCTAGCAGGCAGTGACAATTTAGAGAGACATTCTCTACAACCACTGTAAAGTGGCTGATTCGAAGCATCTAACATTTCATAAAACTTGTTTGCATCTATGTTAGGTTCCTCATCTTCGTCATGAGCTACGAATGCATCAGTTACCATATTATGAACCCTATCATAATCTACCATCAGCTCCTCCTGATGATAACTATGTTCATTATGCAAATGATGATCAACCGGTTCTTTCTGAAAATTGTTATTACTACTACTAGTTTCATTCTCATAATTATAACCTTCTCCATGTTGAAACCAAATATAGTAATTTGGCGTGAAACCTCTATTTATTAATTCCAAACTTTCGAATTGTTGCATTTCCGACAAGGACATAATATTTTACCGCTTTCTTGGGCAAGCGATGTGGAATCTGCTTGATTCATAAATGTCTCCATCCCTTCGAGGTATTCTTTCATCACTCTCATGTTACCATCTATGTGCATATCCACCTCAGCAACTCGAAAATATTTTCGGAGCCCAACATTTTTTTCACGTTTTTTTCATGTTGGTGTGTTTGAAATGATGTTCAAGTGTCCATATTTATAGGAAATTTTCGAATCTGGTTGTTGAAATTTGACGAGGAAATTATAAGCAAATTTTTTTAGAGACGAAAAAAACGTGTTACAACTACAAAGTTGGTAGACTCGACATTTCGTCGTTAAATAAACGTAAAATATTTCCTCGTAAAGTAGATGCTATAGTTACGTTGGATTTACGAGGAAATCTTTTTCCTTCGTAAAAACCATAGGGTAGTATGTTTGTTTTACGACAAAATCATTTCGTCGTAATTTTACGATGAAATAACATCGATTTTAGATTTCCTCGTAAGGTACTCGTAAAGTCGACGTAAATTTACAAGGATTAATTTTCCTTGTTAAATTTCCTCGCTATTGTTAGGTTTTCTTGTAGTGTCCGCTGGATTCAGAGGTTAGGATTTGTGATGAGTCTAGGACGGGGGATGTCGCGACAGTGGAGTTGAGGGAAGGAGATCGTGTTTTGGTTAATCATACAACGGAGAAAGAGTATAAGCTTAAGACTACTATTGACGTTGGGCCAGTGATTGATGCGTGGGATTTTTGCTTATGCTAGGAAAGCTGAGATGATTTCGTATGCAGCTGCTTGATTTCGATGTCAGGTATGAGTGATGGAACTTAAGTCTTTAAGATATTTCAATGTTTTATGGATATTATGTAGTGAATGATAGACAAAGATTGTTACTTTTTCGGAATAGTATTAGTTGTAGAGTAATCTTGATAGTTTGCGATTGATGTAAATCATATATTTTTTTCTTCCTTTTTCTTTATGAGATAGTAACGTGGTAAAGATTTAGTCTCTTTCTGATGAATACAGTAATCTCTCATGCTCCATATTTCGTTATGCTCTCTGTTATGTAGTGAAAATTGGTATATGAGAGATGGAGATTGTTTATTTCTTTTAGAGGAGTTCGAAATTTGTAGAATAATTTTGGAAGCCAAATAATTGGTGTTTTGTCAGTACTTAACTACTGGATGCCATCGATCAACTTCAGCAAATATATCTATACGTTTTCAAAAGATTAATTTATAACCTTTTCCAAAACTATGTAATTACCAAAAGTACAATGGTCTCACTAAGCTTTGACATTCAAAGTCGTTCGTTGTTATAGTTGAAGAAAAAGAGGAACAATGTAACTAACATAGATGAATAAATCTGCAAATGCTAGCGTTGGCTCTCAATCAACTTATATATATAGAGATTTTAACTCTAAATCATTTAAGTTTATACAAATTTAATTTAAACAAATATAAATAGTATTTGTCATTTTATATTATAAACAAATTAATTGTAGATATATATATTTGATTTTCATATCTTCATAGTTCTTGTTGATGTATGATAAAGGATTTTGGTGAACAAATATTGTTAATCTAAAGTTATAATAAAAATTGTTTTAACATGTTATATATATATATGTACAGTCATTTATTTAAAAAAATAAAATAAAACTAATAAATAGTGAAAATGTATATTTTTAATAAAAATATACAATAAGTTTCATCAAATATTCAAATCTATAATAGTAAGAGACTTATACATGTATGTATACATGTTTTATATAAGTAAGAACCTATCATTATATCTATATTTTGAACACTTAATATATTTTTTGATGAGATTTAGTATTATTATATCTAAAACCACATTTAAATTTTATGCAATATTATATACACCAAATAATATAATAAAAGTAATAAAAATATCAAATTTGCAAATATAATAATTAATATCAGTACAATAAAATCAAATATTTTTCTTATCTAAGAATAAATATATCTTAAAATAAAAAATTTTAGTAAGAACTTTTTTATAAATTAATGTCTTTATAAATTAATAAAATTTCAAATTCCCAACCTTATTAATTTATAGAATTTCTACTATGCCTTTTGACAAAAAAAAAAGAATTTTTACTCTGTCTAAGTAAACATTAACCAACCTCATAAACTTCAGCTTTTGAAAAGGTAAATCATTGTGAAAACAAAATATGAAACTATCAATATATGTGTATTTGCCAGCCATTATTATATTTACCTAATCAAGTTGTGTGATTTCCAATATTTCATTCAACACCATTATAAACAACATGAAAAAAAACAAAAATTAAAAAGAAAAATAAATGCAAAATACCTTGTACACAATTACATAACGCACTAATAACAAAAGTATACCCGGCTCTGCGCTTGCGGGGGAGGTTATGTCTCTAGTGTTCTGTTAATAAGAACATACTATGAAAACTGACCGTGGATCTGTAGAATACTATATGACCTTATGAAATTCTTTTTTTTTTGTCAAAAGGATCATAGTATTACATGACCTAGTACTAGCTGATCATGTAAACTATCTATAAATATACAGATTATTGGGAAGCATAAAACACTACCTCTCTACTAAAACACAAACCATCAAACGCTTCACGTAAATCACAACACGGCAACGTCATCCTTGTTACCAAAGCATATGTTCCAGATCAAACTATTGTTCATTCTGACATTAAACCTCTTTTACCTACATACTTCAGTATTTGCAAATTCATCAAAATTCTCCAGATTCTCAAGACACACAAACTCCGAGTCATCATCAAGAAGAACCCAATATTCAAGTTCCGACGATGGGTTTCTCAACTCAGTCCAACTTAGCTGGTACCACGCTTTTTTAGCTCATTCCCTCGCCTTAAGCCTCGCGCTCTCTCACCATACAGCTCAACAAGTCATGCTAGATCCTGTCAACGACTGTCTAGAGCTGCTAGACGACAGAATCGACATGTCTCGCATCGTCACAAAACCTAAAGATCACGTCAATGATGATGTTCATACGTGGCTAAGCGCGGCGTTGACTAATCAAGAAACATGTAAGCAAAGAAGCCTAAGCGAGAAAACAAGCCTCAACAAAGACGGAATCACGATAGATTCTGTCGCAAGAAACCTCACCGGTTTACGCACCAAATCGCTCGACATGTTCATTTCCACGTCTAGACCTGAAACTGTTGGCCGTAAACTACTGTCCAAGATTTTCCGACGTGGGTTTCTTCCTCGGACCGGAGGATTTTAGAAGCTTCGGTGGAAGAGCTGAGACCTCACGCGGTGGTGGCCGCGGACGGAAGCGGGACACACATGAGCGTAGCGGAAGCGTTGGCGTCTTTGGAGAAGGGAACTAGTGGCAGAACCGTAAATCATTTAACAACTGGAACGTATAAAGAGAATATCAATATTCCGAGCAAGCAGAAGAACGTCATGCTTGTTGGTGACGGAAAGGGCAAAACAGTAGTTGTCGGAAGCAGAAGTAACCGAGGCGGCTATAATACTTACCAAACCGCCACTGTCGGTGAGATTTTCCTTAAACATTTAGTCATTAACTAATTGGATAATTTAAATTTTATATACTTTATTTATTTGTATATACTATATATATACTTTTACTATTTATATGTCTATTATTTAAAAATTTGACGAGAACTATATATAAAATTGTAGTTTTTATCTGTCTATTTATTTATAAATTGACCAAGATTTATGTAAAACTAGATATGGACCCGTGCGTTGTACATATTTTATATGATGTTTAATTTTTACGGAAATATAAAAAAGAAAAAAAAATCACATTAGACCATCTGCAATGTATTTATTTTCATTCTAAAATAAATGAACTCTATAATAGAGATGAAATATGCTCCAAAATATTTATCTATAATAGTAATATCTAAATATAGAATAAAAATAGAGGATAGCTATTTCTTCATTTATAAATATAGGAAAAAATAGAAATCTCTATTATAGAGAAAGAAATAGAGGTGGGTTTGAACAATTTCACCTCCAAATGTCATTATAGAGATTGAAATAACAATGAGTTAGAAATGCTCTTAGTTCTTGAATTTTTCATTATACATTGGTCTTAATTTTAGTAATAATAATTGTTTTCTTACATAAATTTTGATTGATATTTTTATGTCAATAATTACGGTGTTTTAAATAATATATTTAATTATTTTTTCAAAATAATAATAGTTGTAGTTAATTGAAACATATAGAACTGTGGACTTTTAATATTATTTATCTTGTTTAAGAGAAATTAAAAAAACACAACTAAAAATATTAAAACTACACAACACCAATCAATATTTGTTTTTGATAGTCAGCTAAATATCATATATACTGCTAAATAAAACATCAAATATGTTTATTTTAGCATGTATGATGTGAATATTGTCGTTATGTTTTAAAAATCTGAAACTATGGAGTTGTAGTGACTCTTGCTAGTGTTATGTATAATTGTAAGACTGGACTTGGAAAATATAGACCAACATTTTAAGTTTTAACTTACTCTTGTTGATAGTCATTGCATAGCAAACTCAAATAAGAAATTAACGTCATTTTAGTTTGAAAGACCATCTTGCATATGTTGGTCTAAGACTTATGCTAGGAATAAAAATCTATTTTTTTCATATAACTTCTGGTTAAGATATCTATTTCGGTAAACATGTTTTGAAGGTCAAGTTATTAGTAATATTGTTTATTGCAAAGTCTTTCTCTTTGATTTCAATTCTTTAGTAGCATGACTTACAATATTTCATTTCAAAATCATTATCTTTTATTTTAATTCTGTAGTATTATGATCTACAATAGCATAACCAATTTAATATGCCACTAAGAACAAACATACATAAGCATAATCACACATAAGTATAATAGTCACATTATCAATTAGACTTATATAAAACAACATGTACAAACGCTTAAGTATAATTGTGGCAGTAACTAATGTACATCAACATAATACTAATATATTCTTTTAAGATAATCAACATCACTTTAATGTGAAAATCAAGATGTCGCATGTTATTTACTATACATGCGATACCCAAAAAAAGAGTAGATCATGCGAAGATGTGAATGAATATGCAGAAAAACTCATTTAACATTGTTATATTTACTACCAAAATATAAGAAGTGGAAAAAAGATGAGAAAACTTAATCTCACAACCACACACACACACACACACACACACATATATATATATATATATATATATATATATATATGTGTGTGTGTGTGTGAATAATTTATGTCCTTTTGGTTTATAATTTATAAAAAGAATATCAACTATTTTAGTTGGAAAGTGGATTATTTGTAAAAATATTAGAATTAATTATTTTAAAAACATTTTGATTAGGATTTGAAGAAAGGAAAACTACCTAAACACTCTTTTACAATTTCTTACGTTTTTGATGTTAGAAATGGACAATTATTATTAAATATTTTCTTTTCTGACAGTTATATACAAAATCTCTATGATCATTTAACTAGCACATATAATTAGTTATAAAAGAACAACAAACTTATCAGTGTTCTAATAAATAAAATTTAAATTATTGATTCAAGTTGATAGTGAAAACTATTCTACTATATATTAACTGAGAAGTTATTTATGGACTTTTGCTTACGTGTCGATCACTATTAAAATTCTAATAGTTTATAAGTATTGGTACACAACATATAATTTTTATTTATTTTGATAATAAAAGGAGTTTCTTACTAATTAATATCATTTTCCAAATAATCAAAATAATAATATCAAAAATGATTTAGGATAACTAATTATTGAAAGGGTGATAATGTTTGATCAGCTTTTTTTGTTTATAAACTATATAAAATGATGAACAAAAATTATAGAAATAACTAAATAAGTATAATTATTTTTTATATTTGTACAGAAATAATTATATGTGAATACAAAGTATATAATAACTGTTAATGATTTAAAAGTCCTTTCATGCTTTGGTTATGCATAAGGATTTATAAAATAGTTTTACAGGATTATAAATCAATTTCAAACAATGCATAAAGGATCTATATCTATTTATATAAAGTACATTTTTTCAGTCAAGGATGTGCCACGGCATCAATTCGCTTAATCTCAGCGCGACATGTGTCCCCTTTCACAATACTCTGCGTTTAATTTACGGTTGTGTTTAATATTTATGGGTTTCTTGTTTGAGTTTTCTGTTCACTAATAAATTCGAATCCAAAAAGGACCTAACGCTTATCATTTTTTTCAACTTCACAACGAATTTAAGATTCATCATAGTACAACTCAATACCAAGAAAAAATATGTAAATTGATTTTAAATAAATATTAAATTTATACATAATTTCTAAATTTAAAACATATGAATAAACTGAAAAGAACATGAACAATCATACATAAATTTTTAATTCAGATACATGTAATTAAACTAAAATTAACATGAACAATCATTATCATTTTGTATCATAAACAAAACACATCATAATTTATTAACAATAATAATTAATAATTAGTTACACTAATATCTATATATAAAATGTAGTTTTTTCTCTTCTTTAAGAGCGTCACCTTGATATGTGTCTCTTTACAAAGAATTTTTTTTGTAGGACTTACATGAATCTTTTATTATGGGCTTTGAATAACGTATTTTCGTCTGAAACCCAACAATAACAGGGCCGCCTTGAACTTCTAAACCTGTAGCCTCTGTTAGGGTTTATCATTGTTTGCGAGTTCTCATTAAGTCTAGAGAAGCATTACTTCATTATACATTGGCTAACATTTATTTTCTTACAATTCCTTAGATAAGTCAATGTTTTATCTACAACATCAAAGTGATAAAATATGAGAGTACAAATTCAACATTTTAAAATATGGGTTAAACAATAAATTAATAAATAAGTGGAGAAGAAATATAATAAAAATATTTCTTTTTAGAATAAAAATTGAGATAACCATTGGAGCAAAACTTCTATTTTTATAGTACTCTATTGTTGGAATGAAAAATTAAAAGAGAAATATATTATAAAATAGTATAGAAAAATTAAAAGAGTTTTTTCTTGAAAAGAGAAATTTATAAATTACTAAATCCTATCTACATAGAAGTTCCATGAAGGATCGATGTTCATGATTCTCTTTAAACATACGATTAAATATTTAACCAGTGTATTTTCTTTGATTTTTATTTAAGTTGTAACGTAGATGATTTTAAATATATTAAAAACGTTCATTTCAGATCGATAATTCTAAAAGTCAGTGTATGAGATTAAATAAAAAAAATCTTTATTTAATCTGTACAATAATTAATATTGAGAAAAAAGTAAACCATTTTGATATTGAATATGAGATCAAATGTTATAAAAGAAACAACATAAAGATCCTTTTGAATCTCTCACAACATATCAATGTCATAACTATTTGATATAAAAATAACTACTGTAAACAAGGAAAATATATTTTACATATAATCTTTTTCACCTAAAACTTTCTAAAAGACAAAAATAATTATCATATGAATCTCTTGCAAATTTAAATTTAAAGAAAAAAAGATGAAATCATACAAAAAATAGTAACCTAAATCACAAATAAAGTATATCCGGCCGGTAGGGCGGGCCGACTCTAGTAATAAATATTTTAAACATTTAGTGTTTTTAGTAATAAAAATCCTTAACTAGGCTGTCAAAAAAATTTCAATTATTTTTGAATCGGAAGAAAAATTCTTAACTAAATTTTTAACACTGTAAGTCCCTAATTTATTAACTGTTAATATATGTTATCTCTGTCATGTTTTTTTAGATGGACGGTAACATAGGTTCACATAATTAAAATCGAAATTAAAATTTAAAATTTTAGTTGAAGATTTATTTTATGTTTTATCTTTAATTGATGGGTTTAAATACTAAAACTTATTATATTTATTTATGTTTACATAAAATTTATTATATTTAAAAAAGTTTTTCCGCCCTAAGGATTTTGAAATCTAGACGAACCTTTAGCGATGCGAAATAAGGCGATTTTTGGTGTGTGTACCGGTGACGGTTTCTTTCTCATTTTGAGCGTTTTTCCGGCCACTTCCCGTGATTCTAGGACACGATGTGTCGGTTTCCCTCCACCGTGAACGTTCTCTGGTGGTTTCTTTCCGTGGTTATCTCTCCTCTACGGTTTTTCCCTAAAGAAACCGCCATGGCCGTTCTTTTATTTAAGGATTTGTTACTGCTGTCTTGGAAATTTACACTACAAAAGATCTCTAATGTCGGAAAACATCAGGAAACGAATGCAGAATCTTAATCTTGGTATTGAAGATGAACTGGTGCCTCTTCCTCTCTCGGTGCGTAACCAAGCGGCTGCAATCAATCAATTCTCTTTGGTGGTTATTCCCATGAACCCTAAGAAACAGAATCTTCGTGTTATGATTGGTCAGTTACCCCGTGTCTGGGGGGTAGACAATTCTGTGATGGGACGCATTATTGCCTCCAACCGTCTCCAGTTTGTATTTCAATCAGAAGAAGCTATGATGTCGGTGGTTCGCCATGCTCCCTGGTCTTTTGCAGAATGGATGCTCTCTGTCCATCAATGGTATCCAAACATTGATGAAGCGGAACTCAAGATTATTCCTTTCTGGGTTCAAATTCGTGGGATTCCGCTACAATATCTTACCCGTCCTATGATTGAGTACATTGGGGGTGTTTTGGCGCTGGTGTTTGATGTAGATTTCGATGCGAATTCCACACGGGTGGACTTTGTTCGAGTCCAATTACTGTGGAACATTGACACCCCTCTTCGTTTCCAACGTCATTTCCAGTTTGATGAGGAGGTTAATACTCTACTCACTTTCCAATACGAACGTCTTCGTGGTTTCTGCCCAACGTGTGGGCTTCTAACACACGAGAAACAAGATTGCCCTTTGGGTTCTGAGGATGATCAACCTCCTCCGGTGGAATCTGATGATTCTGATGATGATAAAGATGATGGTGGTAATGATGATTGTCAGAATCCTGTTATTACTGGAGTCCACTCTATTACTGAAGAGGGTGGTCCTTCTTCTAACATCCATGATGATCTGTCTGTAGAGCAGAGTGAAGTTCCGGGTACTAAAAGAAAGCGTGTAACGTCGACACAACCTACTGAAGGTACATATGATACTAACTCTGAGAAGTTTTGGCGTTTTGCTCCAATGGCTGAAGTTAGAGCAGAATTTGAAAGAAGAATGGGTCCAGAAAGAACACAGAGGAAATATGCATTTGTTGAAGAACTGTTGGCTACTCCTTCTTCCTCTAATGAAGTATTGGGTATGTTGTCTCCCCTGCTTGAAGATGAAGTTGATGATGATAGTGATCATATTATATTGGAAATGGAGGAACGCCGTGGGGCAGGATCGATCTTTGATCAATACCGTTCCTTAGTTGGTGCCTCTAATGTGTTTCAACATCATGCTGAGGAGGTTGATGTGTCTCAGATTGAGTATCCAGGAAAGTCGTCCTCGAAGGGTGCCTCTTTGAAGAGACCTCGTCAAGATGAGTCTGTGGAGGATAAGCATCAGGTTGGTAAGAAGACTATTTCTTCGGAGTATTATGCGCTTCAGAATATATGTGATGACTATGAGGAGGATGAGCTCGCTATGGGAGCAACTAACCCAATAGACAGAGGCACGGTGGGCCCGGTACCACCACCTCCTCAATGAGAGTTCAGGTTTGGAACTGTAGGGGTTTGGGACAACGCCTTACAGTTCGACGTCTTAAGGAAATGCAGCGTCTGTATTTCCCTGACTTGTTGTTCCTCACTGAAACAAAACAGCAGAATGATTATGTTAGAGACATTGGTGTCTATTTGGGGTTTGAGCAAATGGTTCTAGTTCCTCCTGTTGGGTTAAGTGGTGGTTTAGCTGTATTTTGGAAGTCTTATGTTTCTGTTTCCTGTATTTCCAGTTCTTCCAGACTTGTTGATTTGGTTGTGCAATATAAGTCTTTTCAGTATTATCTTTCGTGTATTTATGGTCATCCTGTACCAAAGAATAGAAATCAGTTATGGGAAAGACTTCAACGATTATCGGTTAATAGGTCTGGACCTTGGATGATATGTGGAGACTGTAATGAGATTGTGGATCCTTCTGAAAAGAAGGTAGGCCGTGTTAGACATCCTAGTAGTTGTGTGGATTTTAAGAATATGCTTACAGCTTGTGATATGAAAGATGTTCCCTTCAAAGGCAACCCGTTTAGTTGGGTGGGTCGCCGCAGAAAGGAAGTTGTGGAATGTCGTCTGGATCGGGTTATGGTAAATTCGGAGTGGAGACGTCAATGCTTAGTTACTGAAACTGAGTTCCTTGAATTAGCTGAATCAGACCATTGGCCTATGATTATTACCATTGATAATGTGTATAAACGTCGTAGAGGCTGGTTTCGATATGACAAGAGATTGGCGGAGGAAGAAGATTTTGTAGATATTGTCAACATGGCATGGACAAACACTGAGATTATTGATGGATGGAATCAGAAGCTTGATTATTGTCGTGGTGAAGTCGTCAAATGGAAACGCCGACATCGGACCAATTCTTCTATTCAGATACAGGAAATTCGAGAGAAAATTGATGAAGCTCTAAGAGATAGTTCTATTTCCATTGAGGTGGTAAATGATTACCGTAAAGAGCTAAATAAAGCTTATTATTCAGAAGAGGAATCTTGGAGGCTGAGGAGTAGAAATAGATGGTTAAATTTTGGTGATCGAAATTCTCAGTTTTACCATGGTCTCACGAAGGTCAAAAGAAGCTATAACAATATTAAAGTTATACAAGATAATCATGGGATTATGCATACAACAGAGGAGGCTATTGCTCAGATTGCAGAAGCTTATTTTAAGGATATGTTCACATCATCTTGTAATCCAATTGATGATGATGAATTTCTTAGTAATATACAACATAAGGTTACAATTGATATGAATTGTACTTTGATGGCAGAAGTAACTGATGATGAAATAAAGCGTACCATGTTTATGATTGGATCTGATCGCGCCCCAGGTCCTGATGGGTTCACAGCTTCCTTTTATAAACAATTTTGGGATATCCTTGCTTCTGATGTATGTTCTATGGTAAAGAAGTTCTTTGAGACAGGAATTTTAGAAGGAAACTTAAACCATACACACATTTGTTTGGTCCCTAAGTTTCCAGGTGAATCTGAGATGAGAAATTTTCGGCCTATAAGTCTATGCTCTGTAGCATATAAGCTAATCTCAAAGATCATGTGTCAACGTCTTCAGTGTTGTTTAGAGGGTATCATCTCGGTGTCTCAGGCACCTTTTGTTCCACATAGGCAAATATTTGACAACATCTTAGTGGCACATGAGTTAATTTCTGCTCTGTCTTCTAAGAAGGACTGTTCTGAACAATATCTAGCTATCAAAACTGATATTAGTAAGGCCTATGACCGCGTTGAATGGTCATTTTTGGAAGCTACAATGATCAAGCTAGGATTCGATCATCGCTGGATTGCTTTAACAATGGAATGTGTTAGAACTGTCTCATACTCAGTCCTTATTAATGGAATACCCTATGGAGGTTTTACACCATCAAGGGGTCTACGGCAAGGAGATGCTATGTATCCGTATTTGTTTCTTTTGTGTGTGGAGGTGTTGAGCCAAAAGCTTGAACGTGATCAGCTTAATAATTCTTTCCAAGGGATGAGATTGGCTAGACAATGTCCACGAGTTTCACATTTATTCTTTGCGTATGACTCTTTATTCTTCTGTCGTGCAACAACAGAGGATGTTCATTATTTGGCTTCTACTTTTGAGCAATATGAAAGGATCTCTGGTCAACAGGTCAATTATGAAAAATCATCGGTGATTTTTGGTAAAAGAGTGCCTCAGTCTCTGCGACTCCAACTACAGTCTATATTGAAGATTAGTAATGTGGGTGGAGGGGGGAAATACTTGGGTCTTCCGGAGCGATTCAGTAGAAGTAAAGTCTCTGATTTCCGAAGTCTTGTTCAGTGTGTTAAGCAACAAATTTCCCCCTGGTATAATCAGTATCTATCCCCAGCGGGTAAAGAAGTTCTTATCAAGTCTGTCCTTCTAGCTAAACCCGTCTATCCTATGAGCTGTTTTCTACTCCCAAAAACGATATGTGATGAGATTGACTCTCTTCTTTCTGGATTCTATTGGGGGCAGTCTGGTGGTAGAAGAAAAATATCTTGGATTTCATGGAAACGATTGTGTCTCCCTAAGAAAGAAGGAGGTCTAGGTTTTAGAGATTTACATGCTTTTAATGTGGCTTTGTTGGCTAAGCAGGCCTGGAAGATTAAGCAGAATCCTCAGTCTCTGTTGGCAAGAATTTGCAAAGGTAGATATCATAACTCGTCGACATTCTTACAGTCGACAAGTTCAACTAATGCCTCTTATGGATGGAAATCCATCCAAGTAGGAAAGGACCTCCTATGTAAAGGTTTACGAGTGCAAGTTGGTGATGGGAAAAACGTTAAGGTCTGGGAGGACCACTGGCTACCAGTGCTTCCACCTCGAAGATTAACTTCCCCTTGTCTAGACCCTAACTTGAAAGTCTCTGTATTTATTGATCCGTCAGCAGGGATGTGGAAAGAAGATATGCTTAGTGAGTTACTTGTTCCTGAAGACATTGATATAATCAAGACTATCAGATTATCTAGATTCAGTCATCAAGATCAGTATGTTTGGCCATATAATACCAGTCTCGAATATTCAGTTAAATCAGGGTATTGGTTAGCAACTCATGCTTTTGCTGAAGATGATATTATTGCTCCGCCTCCTGGTTCGATTGCTCTAAAAGATAACATTTGGAAGCTAGAAATTCTACCTAAAATTCAGCATTTTCTTTGGAGAGTAGTTTCCGGTGCTCTACCAACTTATGTTCAGTTATGCATAAGGGGAATTAACACTGACCCGGTGTGTCAGAGATGCTGTTTGGAAGAAGAAACAATTAACCGTGTTTTCTTCCAGTGTCCCCATGCATATGCAATTTGGCGTTGCTCTGGTTTTCCATCCCATAATCTCAATCATGATGACTTGGAAGATAATTTATCTGAGATATTCAAGTTCATGGAACGGAATGATACCCCTGCTCGCATAACCAAATATCCTCTTTGGATATTATGGTTTATTTGGAAGTCACGAAACGAATTTCTGTTTGCACAAAGAAATGTTCATCCAATTGATGATGTTCGTAGAGTAACGGCAGCAAATGAGGAATGGAAATTGCCAATATAATTCTCCCAAGAAAGATCGGCCAGCAATTATTAAAAGCTCAGCGTGGGAACCTCCCCCTATAGAATGGTTAAAGTGTAATTTTGATTGCAGTTTTAGCAGAGAGTCGACTATGGCTGGTGTTGGATGGATTGTACGAGCTAATGATGGGTCTTATATCTGTTCTGGAATGGCTAAAATCCGTAATGTTACCAGTCCGTTGTTAGGTGAGGCCTTAAGTCTACTGTTTGCAATGCAACAGGTTTGGATCCGCGGCTGGAGAAAAGTATGATTTGAAGGAGACTGCTCTGAGTTGGATCGTATCATCAACCAAATAGTTCTGCAGCACATTGACCTGGGAAATGTTCTATATGATCTTCGATATTGGATGACTCTTCTACCGATGTGCTATTTGGGAACGGTAAACAAAGAACGTAACATGGCAGCAGATATTATATCTAAGAAAGCAATAGAAAACTCTCATGATGTAATTAGTTTTCCTGTTCCTCCTGTATGGTTACTAAACTACTTGTATTGACCTTTTACGGTCTGATTTCAATTAAACGTTGTTTCAAAAAAAAAAAATATATTCAGATATAAAATGTAAACCGAATCGGTTTCCCGGTAGAAAATTACACGAAGGTGTCCATATGAAAGGGAAAAAATAGGATAAAGATATGTTTTTTTCTTTTTTTTTGGGTAAAAAGGATAAAGATTTGTTACGGAAACATTATCACAAACCAGTGACCACATTCTAAACAGCGTATATTTACCAAAGGACAATTGAATGCATATATATTAGCTGTCAAGGCTAAAAGTTAGGGTTTTTAAGAACTTCGGCGGGAGAGGAAAGTATTCTTGTTTGCCCCACTTAGAAAAAATATATTCTCAATATCCCACCAAAATTCTAATTACCCCACTATATTACTCTTCTCACTATTACCCTCAACTATTATATATTATTTTATTGTCAACGGACCCCACATTTTTTTAATTGTAAAAATAAAAAGAAAATGGTCCCCTCATCCACTCATCTCTCCTCCCATAAATTGGGTAGTTATTGCACGCCCACCCCCACACCCCAACTGCCTTTCTCCTTTTGACACTTGTCTATTTTGTTCCCCTTTCTCACAGCTGCTCCCCATTTCCCCAACAACCTGCGAATGCTTCTCCTCCTTCAAGCTTCATTTGCGATTTTTGAAGGTAATTTGACGAAAATTGGTACGTTTTTTTTTCATGAAATTTTCATAATAATTTAGTACTTATGTTCTATGTGTTATAAGTAACAAAAAAAAACTTAGCTGTAAAAATTTTGAGAGTTTCAGAGAAATATAAAAATAAAATTTTAAAAAGATTCACTGTTTTTTAACACAATTTTGATAGAAAAAACATGAAAATGGTGT